AAAAAAATTAAAACAAAAAAATTTTGAATAATAGATATCCAATTAATAATTTTAATATGTAATTTTAATATATATTATATATATATATATATTAAATTTTAATATATATTTTTTATATGATTTTATACTTTTTTTGTAATTAAGTTATAATGGTTTTATTATTAGGTAATGATGCAAAATCTACAATATGTTTAGACAATGAAAATAAAAACAATGGACAAATTATAAGCATAGTTACAACTTCTACAAGTCTTTTAATTGAATCACTTATACAGCAATCATGTATGTTATTTGAAGATGATTCAGAACGCAGGAATAAATTATATTTAGGTAATATAATTAAACTTTTAAAAAAGATATATAATAAACATTTATTGTTAAAATAAATATTATTAAAATAAATAAAATAATAATAAAATTATAATATTAACGATTTACAAAATAAAGATAACAAATCAATATATGTTTATAAATTTTTTAATTTTGTAATATTCTAATAAATTTTAAAATATAAAATAATAAATAATAAAATAATTTTTTTTATATTTATTTTTAGCTATTTGTGATAGACTTCATAAATTAAAAATAATTGATAGTTCTTATAATATGATTGAATTGGAACCATTAAGAGGTCAATATCAACAAGCATTATATCACTTATTTACAGTTGCACGAGCAACAATTGGTTGTGAAAATGCATTACAAATTCCAAGGTAAAACTTGATTTAAATTGTATTTATTTATATATGATTAATAAGAAAATAATATTATATTTAACTTTTATGTATTTATTTTGTATAGACCATTAATGACAGAATGGTCTCGTTATCATAAAGAATTTCAAGAAATAAGTTTTATTGCATCTGGAGGATTTGGTAATGTTTTTAAAGCTTTAAATCGTCTTGATGGTGTAGAATATGCTATTAAAAAGATAATAGTACGTTCTAATAGAATAAAAAATATAATGCAACATCTTGAAGAAGTGAAAACTCTTGCTAAATTAAATCATACTAATATAGTTTCATATAAAGGAGCATGGATTGAACCACCATTAGCTTCAACTGCTATACCATGTTTAGTATCCCCAAATTATTCTCAAAACAAATTAAGTTCTATTGAAGATAAACGAAAAATTGGATATAAATCATGTATAAATCGATATTTTAATTCACAAAGTCAACAGAGCTCTGATACTGAGAGTCAAAGTCCAAAAGAAAGTGATGAACATTATATGTCATTGCAATATAATAAACAAAAAAATTACGAATGTGGTATGTATAACTCATATTAGTATGTATTACTCATGTACTCATAATATTAAATGCATTATATATATAATTATTTATTATATTATTTGTTATAGAAAAACAAGTTGTTATAGAAGAAAATATTAATAAAAATATAGAGAAAACTAATTCAAATAGTATATCTTTTAGAAGTGATAGTGAACATCAAAATAATAAAATAAAAAATAATATAAGTTATAGTGATGGTAGTAATTCAAATGAAGAATACAGTAAAAATAAAATACTTTTACCATATATGTCTCAAATGGTATATATTATATATTATTGTTCATTATAATTTTTTATTTTTATATATCATTTATTTGAAAAATACATAAAATTATATATTTATGTATTTATAGAATAAAAAATATACAACATTATATATTCAAATGGCTCTTTGTGAAAAAACACTTCAGCAGTGGCTTGATGAAAGAATTGAAACAACTCCACAAACAATAATCATTGCTATATTAACACAAATTATTTATGGATTAGATTACATACATTCTCGCCGAATTGTGCATCATGATATAAAGGTAAAATAAAAAGAATAAAAAGAATCTAAAATATTTAAAGTACTTTTATTCTAATATGTATTAGTTTTTATTTTTCAATTTGTTATAAATATTATAATTGTAACATATAAATATTTTTTTTTTAACAATATGTAAAATTTTTTATTCTATTTTTTATTCTATTTTAGCCAAGTAATATATTTATTTCAACGTCAGGACAATTACAAATACAGCTAGGAGATTTTGGATTAGCTTGTCCATTACAAAAAGAAAATCATCATTCAATTCTTGGAACACATATGTATGCAGCACCAGAACAATTACAAGGAAAATGTGATCCTAAGGTATTTTTTTGTTGAATAAAATATGAATTTTAAAAAATATTTTAATAATTTTTATTTTTTCAGAGTGATATATATAGTTTAGGCATAGTACTTTTAGAATTATTAGTACATACAAGAACTAGTATGGAAAGAATTGAAATAATTAATAATTTGAAAAAAGGACAAATACCGACTTCATTAACTGCTACTTATCCTAAATGGGTATTTTTTTAAAATAATTATATTTCTTTTAGTTAAAAAAAAAAATTTAAAAATAAAAATGATAAATTTTTATTAGGCTTATATAGTAAGTCAATTAGTGCAAGAAGATCCCGAGAAACGACCATCAACTAATCAATTGTTACAAGATTTAAACGAAGATAAAGATATGATGATAACATGCTTAAAAAATGACATCATTGAAAAGGAAGATATAATTAGAAAGTTACAAAAGAAGATATCAATATTAGAAAACCAAATTGTTAAACATAATATATTGTTACAAGACATATAATTTTATGTATTATTACATTGCAAGATAGCGAGTTTTAAAAAAAGATATATAGTATTATTTTTTTATAAATTAATTATAAAACAACAAAAAAAAAGTACTTTTGAAAAGTGCATTCTCTAATAAGAAGTAATAAAAGAACATTTGTAGAATATATATTTATTAAATAACTGACCTATGCATTTATTAGATACAAATGTTTAATATATATATATATATATATTAAACATATTATTTTGTTTGATAACAAAATAAATATATTTATTTCATTTTATATTAAAATAAGATATTTGTAAATAATATTTGAATCTCAATATTCATTTTTGGTTTTCATAATAAGAGAAAAGAAGTTTTTTATAAAAAGAGGTAAGAATTTTTATAAAGGAAAAATAAAAAGAAAATATTTTTATAAGAAAAACAATAAAAAGAAAAAAAATATAAAAATTTGTATTTTATAAAATTTATTTATTGTATTTATTTTTTTATTTATTATATTTTTAATTCTTTTATTTATAAAAATAAAAACATGTAATAATTCAATATTATATTATATAAATTTCCAATATCTTTGTTTGAAATATATCAATAAAAAATTACTATGTTTATTATAAATAATTAATTTTTCAATCTCATCTTTTATTACTTATATTACATTTTATTTATATCTATATACAGATAATCAAATATCAATTTTATATGAAGATTTATATATGGAATTAATTTAAATACTTTTAACATAGTTAATTGAATATTTAGTTAATTTTTATATTTTTATGTTTGGTTTTGTATTATAATATCTAATAGATTTTTAAATTGTATTCCAATTAATATTCTATTAGATGATACAGGATTCACACATTGTTGTAATAGATGTTGTATATCTGGATAGCTTTTTAATATTTCTACAGGTATATCATGTAAAAGTCCACCAGGAAGTATATTATTATTTATATTTAATGCTAATAATATCTGTAAATATAAAATATTTTATATAAAACTGAAAAGTTTTTTATCAAAAATAATTTTGAAATATATAATAAATTAGTATTATGTTTTTTAATAATAAGAACCAACCTTGCATATTGCATAGTAATTGTGATCACTAACTTTATGATTACATATATCAATAGAAGAAAATGCAAGACATTCTGGACAACTAAAATTTTCACTATTTACTTGTAATTGATTCCATGTAATTGATCTTTCTAAATAACATATATAAAAATTTTTAATAATTTTTTAAAGTTTTTTACTTATATACTTACTTTCTATAGTATTTTATTCTTTCTCTAGTAAATAATAATTCTTAAATTACAATTTTATTACCTGCAGGTGCAATATTTTTATCAACAACAATGATATTTTCTAAATCTACAAATTTTGCATTATTATTCATATCAATTGCTATATTATCAGCAGATACATCAGTTAAATAAAAACCAAAATCTTGTTTTTATATGTAAACTTGTAAGCTGCATCTAGAAGACTTGAAGCTATTTTAGCTCTATGTAACCATGGTTCATTATAATAAGCAGTTAATGGTAATCCAATATATTCCTCAATTACAATACGTCCACAAGCACCAAAATATTTTGGTACAGGCCAATCTTTATCTGCAGGTAATATCTATAAATATAAGTTCTTTTATTTTATTTTTTCTATTTTATTCCATGAAGCTTTTTTTTTTATTAAATTTTATTAGATTTTTTACTTTTATGAAAATGTATAAATATATGTACAATATACCTGAAGAAAGAGAGGTTCAGGGTTAAGAACAATTAATGTCCAAATATTAATATCAAATATTTTTTTATGAACATCTTTTTTATTATGATATACATCTTTTAATAAATTATCTAAATGTTGGATTGTAGGACAAAGTTTTAAACCATTAAAATTATTTTTTATAAAATTCAAATTGACTTCTTTTTCAATGAATTTATGAAAATTAATATTAATATTATCATCTATGTCCTTTATTGTACAAATATGAGAAATGTTTTCATTTTCACAAACTATTCTGTCAAATTCATCTAATTCAAAATTTTTAGCCAATTTCTTCAGAACAATCCTATTTTTATTAAAAGAGCCAAAAAATACATTTTTTACTCCGAAAAAATAAGAAAACACGGAATAAAAATCATGAAATTTAATATCTACTTCATGAATATAATTACACGCAGAAGTACCAAAACATAATGGACATTTATGTAATTCCATTAAACGATTCATATCTGGTCGAAATGTAATAATTGTAGACCATTTTAATGCTATTAAAATTGTTAGAAAAAATAATAATTCCCATTTTTTAAATTTTAATATATTATAAATATATGATAAAGTCATATATTAAAACTTTCTACAATTGTGATTAATTATATAAAATATGATCAATTATTAAAATATAAATCTTATTTTATAGGTTAAACTTGATATATGATTAATGTAAGTACTATAAATATATGCAATATGAAGCAAATAAGTAAAGTAACTATGTTTGTATATAATTTATATATATATATATATATTTTAAATAATAGGTTAATTTGAATAAATAAAGATATGGATTATTATGAAATACTACTTCATTTGACAACTATTGATAAGACTGAAAATGGTATGAAAATATATTTTATACTTTATATTTTATATTTATTTATAAGCAATAATATTTAATTATTTATAAAGCAATAATAAATTTTATATTATGTTATATTATATAATAAATTTTGATGATAATTTTACTATTTTATTTATTTTAGAAGAGATTAAAGATTTTGATGGAAGATTGCAATATATTTTACAAAAAGTAAAACGAATTTTAATGAAAAATAATAAAAAATTCTTAAATAACAATATTTATGATAAAGACGATATTAGGTAAGGTTACTTTATAAAAAGATAATTTTCTTTTACAAATTATTTAAAATTTTGCAAAAATATATAAAAATAGTTTAAATTAAATTTAATGATGATATATATATCTAATATTTATTTATATTAATATTTTTAGATATCAATATATATGTATTACTATACATATTTTACAAAATATAAATATATGTGATTCTACCAATAATGAATCTTTATTCAGTGTTAAACAATTCCATACTTTAAAAATTTGTATAGAACTGATAACAGCAATGGGAATTATACCTTGCCTTTTACCTGGAGTTGGAGTTGATATGGTTAAATTATGTCCCAGAGCTTTGACAATTTATAATGAAAAACTAACAGATTTACAAGTATAAATTTTAAAAAATTCTTTAAAAATATATAAATATAATAATACAAGATATAAATAAAATGAATTTAAAATATTTCTTTTATTTTAGAAATATAAACGATTACAATTCACAATTAATTCTCTTATACAATTATACAATGAAGTTATGTTTCGTCCTGCAATACTTGCTCAAGTAGGACCATTATTAGCTGCACTTTTACAATTAAGTTATGCTCCATTGATGAAACCATCTGAAAAGAATATATCTAATCAATCAAAAAATAGAAGCAAAGATGAATTTATAATGACTGAAGATTTATATAATGAATTAAAAAAAGATCAAGAACATTTTATATGTTTGCTTCATGAATTCTTAAATATTTGTCCTTTATCTACAAGCATGAAAGAATTAATGGTAATTTTTGGAATCAAAGGAGCACCAAAATGGCTCCAACGCAAAACTCGTCACTATCTATTACAACAACTCATGCAACCTAATGGAATTGTTTCAATCATAACTGCTATTTGTGAAGATGTATTGGATTTTGGAGAACATTGGGATAAATTGGGTATTATTTCCAGATTAATAGCTACATCACATGGAAATAATTCTAATGAATATTACGAATCCATATGTACACAAGTATATTTTATAAATTATTTTTATAATAATTCAATTTATTTTCTTAAATAGTTATTCATTTTAGAATAAATTATATTTGTTTCAGTTATTGAATCTTTTAACATCAACACCGATTAAACATTCAACAACAATAGCAAATTGTTGCATTACTGCACTTTATGAATATAATGCTAATATTTGTTTTAAAAATATTGTAGCAGTAATATGTAATCCATTATTGGAAATATCAAAAAATGATCAAAATGTATTAAAAAACGAAAATGAAGTAGAAAAATGCATTGAAAATTTAACAAAATGTTTTATAACTGTGGAAGCTAAATTTAAACAATTACCTTGTGAACTTTTAACACATGTGGCTGTTCCTTTATTTTCATTATATAATAATTTTAGGCAAAGTGTTTGTGCAGAGAAAATCAAAATTAAACAACTCATATTGTTACTTTTATATGAAGAATCGTTAAGAAATAATCTTTTTGCTGTATTTCTTGGTCACAGTATAACTAATAATTATGGAAATCGTTTAAAGTCGAGGTTTGGACCATCAGGTGGAATTGAAATTATAGGAATTGATGAGACTTGTAAATATGAAGAATTTGCAGATAGTTTATTTGATTTAACATTTACTATAGAAGTATTATCAACTAAATTATTTTCCTATTTACTAAAATTTCTATCGAATTCTATAGAATTAAATCAGCAAAATTTATTAGAAACAGAAGATGATATAATTGATAAAATTGAAAAACAATTAGCAGCTATAAAACTTTTATCAAGTTTAGCTAATATATCTGCAGTACAAGAAGCACAAGTTGAAAATCCAACATCGTTATTTTGTTTTATAAAATCATTATTTAATCAATATATTAAAAAAAATCAGACTTCTTCAGATGAAAGTGATTGTGAAATTTTGTATGTCAGTTTAATGTTAATAAAAATAATTTTGAATGAAAGAAAAAAACCTTTAAATTGGGCAATATTCAGTGATTTTGTAATATTCTTAAAAGAATGTTGTATTTCCAATATTTCATCACAATTGTTATTATTAACACGAGAATTGATAAAATTGATTGAAACTCAAGGTAAATCTGAACAAAAACATTATGAGGATCTCTCAGTGAATTGTAAGTCATTGAACAAATTTGAACAAGCACTTAAAGATCTCGTAGATCCATTACTACCTGTGCGTGCACATGGTCTTATAACTCTTACCAAATTGATTGAAAATATGGATCCATATGCAATTGCTAGAAAAGCAATTCTTTTACAACTATTTACAGTTGAGTGAAAAAAATTCTTTTAATTTTAATTTTCTCTAATATATTTTTTATATACATATTGTCAATTTTTTATTATAGGAAAATTTGAAACATGAAGATTCATTTATATATTTGGCAGCAATTAATGGATTGTGTGTTTTAACCACTTCATATCCACAAGTGGTTATCGAAATGTTAATACAAGAATATATTAATATGCCACAACGTGTTTCAGCAAAAGAAATAACTGTAGAAACTAGGATCAAGTTGGGAGAAATACTTGTAAAAGTGACCAGAACTTTAGGTATATCTTATTATGATTCTTTTTTTCTATTTATATAATTTCTATTTATATATTATATATATTCTATTTATATATTTTCTATTTATATATAAAAATTTCAACTTATACATAATTCAATAGGTGAAATGGCATCAGCTTATAAAAATATTTTAATAAATGGATTCTTATGTGCTACAAAAGATTTAGATTCTTTAGTACGTGCATCTAGTCTTTCTTGCTTAGGCGAATTATGTAAGGTTTTAGGTTTTCGATTAGGAGACATTGTTATTGAGGTATGTTTAATAAAATAAAAATTTCATAACTAAATATATAATAAATAAATTTATATAAATATAAAATTTAGTTAAACATTCTACATTTTAAAATATTAGATATTAATTGTGTAATATATAAATTTAATTATAAATGAATTTTAATCTAACAATATTTTTAGGTAATCTATTGCATTAGTTGTATTATAAAAACAGATAAAAATCCCGAATGTCGACGAGCTGCAGTTATGGTTAGTACTTTGTTACTTCGTGGCCTTGGAAAAGATACTCTAACAAATCTCGGTAAAGATTTGGTTGATTTATATCGTGGTCTTAAATATTTACGGGATAACGATGAGGATACAGTGCTATGTTTACATGCTCAACTAGCTCTGGAAGAATTGGATTATATAATGAGAGATTTCCTTTTTTCTGCTCCAAAACTCGAAAAAAGAATATTTTTGTTAGGATCATAATAATAGTTAATAATAATAATTATTCTGAAAAATATTATTCAAGAATATTTACATCTTGATTTTTATAAAGAATATTTATAAAAGAATTATTATTATTTAATATATAATTTTTTGTTATTTATCATAATATAAATCTTAAATATAAACGAATAAAATCAATTTTTTCTAACATAAGTTTTTTAAAAAAAAAATTTTATATTTATATTTTATATACGTTTTATCATTTTTATTATTTTATATCATTTATATTAAATTGATTGCTATTTTTTATGGAAACAATGAAATAATTATATATATACTTAATACGAAAATCAAAACAAATGAATTAACGTAATTAGAAAATATATTTTAACAATAATATTATATTTCATATAACTGAAAGACATAAAATGATAGAAATAACTGAACTTCTAGTACTTATCAAGTAATTATTAAAAAAATGTTGAAATATGGACTACAAAAATATTGTATCCTCCGAAAAGAATCCAGCTAAACGAATATCATCTCGTTTGAGACAGACATATAATCTTTGAGGTTGTGCTGTTGATGTTGGTGAAGGCCGTGGTGTTACAATACGTAGAATAAATTCTTTACAGCAAGGTTCTGGAAATGATTTAAATTTACTGTCTCCAATAGCATCTATTTCTGGATTAATGTTGAGAGAAGACATTACAAGAGCAGCCTAAAACATAAATTTATCACTTAAAATTTATTCCAAATATATAACTTAAAATTTATTAACTTTTTTAAATAACATTATTTTTTAAATAATAATTAATTAAGAATTTTATAATTATAATTTAAAAAATTAAAAAAATAATAAATTGCAAAAACTCGATTCTTTGTATTTTTAATAATATAATAATCATATTTATAAAATGAAATGAAATATATAATACTTTTTGAGCATCCCTAAACATTGTTGTTATTCGAGAACCGATATTTCCTCTAGATCCATCTGGTACTTCCACTTCCTTTCCACGCATTAATTGGACGAGAAACGAAGTAAATTCTTTAGAATCGTTATTTCCTCCTAATTTATGTTGTAATGAATTTACTTGAGCAACAAGAGCTTCTATACCTTCTATATCTCGAATAATTTCCTAAAATTAATTTATTTTTTAATTTTATTGTTTTTTTATTGATAAAATATAAAATGAGAAAATTATAAGTATATAATTTAAAGATACCTCATATATATATAATTTTTGATGAATAGGTTTCGTCGCATACTGTAATTTATTAAGTATACTGGATGCCACATCAAGTAGATTTGGTAGAGCATCTTGTTTTTGTTCGCTTAAAGTATGAAGCGCTGCATGAGTTAAAGTTGGTAAAAGAAGTTGAGCAATTTGACCTATACGTTTTGTACTTAAAAAATGCAAAGCTTTTTCAGCCTCTCTTGTGTCATCAAACAATCGTTTCTGTCGATGAGCAGGTACAGGTTGAGCTGAATTCCAAGTTGTAGACCATGGATTATTCGGAATTAACATTCTTGCTGATAAATGTCCTGTATTAAATGATAAATTACATTATTATTGATTTTAAAAAAATTTTTTTTTATTTTATAATTCTAATTTATAAAATATAAGCAAATTAATAAAAAAAACCTTTAAGTTGACCCCATTCATCTATTTCATCTTCTTCAATCCAATCTCTTGGAGAATACCAACGAATGAAATCTTCTAAAACTGCTCCAGGATTTGCTGCCTATTATATTAGTTAAATTCTTTTTATTATTTTATAAAAAAAATATTCAAAAAATAAATTCTATATATATAAATTAAAAGTAATTAATCGATTTTTAAAAAATTAAAAAAAAATTTTTTCATAACTATTTTAAAATATCAAATTTACTATTAAAATATTTTTTATAGCAAAAAAAAATTATCTTTATAAAATTTAATTATTTTATAAATTATTTATGATATTATATTCATTTAAATGTTTCGTCTTAAGAATTATAAAAACGTATAAGATATTTACATTTTTCCTAAGTATAAAAAAATTAATTTTATAGGTTTGTATATATCATATTATTATTACTTTAAAAGATTCCATATCAGATAATAATGAGGCACTCATTAATCTAGCTCGCATTTCTGAAGCATGTTTATCAGTTCCAAGCTGCATCATTACTTGAGCATCTTCTTCGAGTTGATCTTCTGTTTTTGGTACAGGATCTTGCGTTATCGGCAAATAAAGAGGATCTCCACTTTGAATTAACCTACACATAAATTAATTATTTATAATAATATTATTTTTTAAATTATATAATAATAATAATAATAATATAATAACAATAAAATAAAAATAAATTTTATACTTGAGAGAAGGATGTTTGGCTAATCGTCCTGCAGGTTTGTTCCATAATAGATGTTTCGCTTTCAGCTGTGTCCTCGTTGAATCGTCCTCGTTTGCTGGTTCCTCGCTAGTGCATTCGAAAAACTCTTCTTCTTCTGATTCTGCTAAAATCAGAAACGTTATAAATTACATATTGGATTGAGTTTTTTAAAAAATTAAAATAAAATTATTTTTTCCTTTAAATATATATATTAATTTAATTATTATATATAATTAATATTTTTATAATACGTAATATCTGTTAATATATTTTTAATACATTACTACGTTATATATACCTGTTTCAAATTCATCAGTATCTATACTTTGAGATTTATGTGCCATTTCTTCCCTTGCTTTCTTTTTTTCAATACAACAATTCATCATCTAAAAAAATAAAATATAATAAATAAAAAGTTTAATATTGGTATCAGCATCGTATTATATTAAAAGTAAAAATTAAAAAATTATTTTGAATTTTATGTTGAAATTAAAATTTCAATTAAAAAAATTTATTTAAAATTTTAATATTAAATTTAATATATAATTATACATATATCATATTATTAAAATTAAAATTAAATTAATTTAGATAAAGATATTATTTTTAAATTTTTAAATTAAAAAAAATGAATTTTACCTGAAGTTTTTGATGCAATATACATGTTCTTACTGAATCTGGAAAACCAGGACTGACTCTAAGAAAAAAACATTTAATTATAATGGATCTTTTATCATAATTTTAAGAATGTAATATTTTTATTTTAAAAATTTAATCAATGTAATTATAAGAATAAATAAAAATTTGTTTTTTTTTTAATGACTTTAATATAATATTGCGTTATTTTGATATATAATATAAAAATTTTTACAAATGTTATTTTAAATATTATTATACATATATATATATATCTATAATTAAAAAATACAAGTGAAAAAAAAATTCATCGAAATAATTTTTATATATTTCAAGAAAATAACTACTGTAAAATAATAATTTTATTATAATTAAATTCAAAAGATTGTGATAGCGAAATTTATATATTTAGATACATTTTATTTTTTCAAAATTCTTTTATATTTCAAATACGTTTAAATTGAAAATTCTTAATATTTAAATTTTAATTAAAGATGATCATGTAAAATGAAGGAAAGATCGAATAATTTATACACAATATTAATATATTCGTAAGACATTTTTGAAAAATCGATTGTTGAGATTTATTAATAAAATAACAAAATTTAATATACAAAAGTATCAATTGAGATTTATTCATTAAGTTATAAACAATTTAAGTTTACCTCATATATAAACAAAAATAGAATGAGACAATTCTATTTTTTTTTACTATCCTCTTCTATCACATCGATCTGATAATCGCCGAAAATCGGGAGAGTGATTCACGGTCGAAAAAGTTATTGAAGATTCGTTTTCCTAAGGCTCGTATACTATTCTGCCCTACCTCAGCCTATGTCGCTTCGAGAGAGAGAGAGATTCTTGGGGGGGTCACACAGCAGCGAATTCTTGCAGTCTAGTCGAAGACCGTGATGCCGATGCTACCGAGACGAACTTAACGGTTCCCAGTATTAAACGTGTCACAGTTCGAGGATCACGCGTGTTCACATCAATTGTTTAAAAATAAATCGAATTATATGATTTTATTAGATGATTTATGCCACCGATTACATACATGAGATTAAAGGTAATTCGAAGTGTATATCTGGGAATATAAGTTCATTTCGGGCGGCAGTAACAACAGGTGGCGTCAACAGAGGCCGTTGTTTTTGACGGCATTCTTCATAGTGCGCTCGTTCGCGTATGAAATAGACCGCCTTTCGTTTCTCCGTGCGTTTTTTTTTTTACGCGCGATTCTTTTAAAACTGAGGTGATAACAAAATTCGGCTTGGCCGGAACACGTCATGGATCATAACAGGCTGTGAACTAATAGTAACAAATATGAGTAAGTAGATTCTATATTGTTCTTTTAATTAGTTTTTTAAGGATGTTATAAGTTAATTTGATAATAATACGAATGTTAATTATTTAATTTCTTCCTTTTTTTTTTAAATATTTTCATATTAAAAAATTTTTAATTCCAATTTTTTCTAATTTTTAAAAGCTTTAAGCTTTCTAATTTTAGTTATGATTATTTTCTCAACTCTTTAAATATTTTGGATGTTTTTATTTATTTAAAAATTTTTATATAATTTTGATTTTTTTTTAAATTTTAAATATAAAATTTTTCTATTTTTAAATATTTTTTATAATAAAATATCTTATAATAATATATCTTTTGCCATTATTTTATATTTTAATAATCTTCCTTATAGAAGATTTAATTTTCGCGCTCATTTATAATATACAATCTTAAGCGCATATGACATATGTATAATTTTAAAATACTTAACCATGCAATCTTCACCCAGCATTATTTTTATTTTAAATGACTTATAACTGTATTATTAATTACATTATTTCTTCTTAAATAATAATAATAATAATGCAAATTAGAAAATTTATCTTACAAAATGAATATATAATAATAAACGAACGAATAAGTAAAAGGTAAACGAAGAAATAATTTTAATTGTTGAATGCGAAGAGTAAACGCGAATTAAATTCGAATTTCTTTTAAACGTGAATGAATTTTTATCATATAAATTATACTTTTATTATCGACTGTGTAAGTGATCATTATCATTATAATCAATATCTAGTTATTGTGCTAGTTGTTTATAGAGATGATATATCGAATGAGGAAGAAAAAAAAAAAAAAAGAAAAGTGATCGTACACGTGTCTATTAATAAAAGTTCCTCTGTGAATTTCTGCATGATGTTGCATAGATAGTTACATTCTTTGCTGTTTTATCCCTTACAGCTTGAACAAGTATAGTTATATTATAGCAGCAAGTTTCAAAGGGTGAATGCACCTACGCATACCTCATGTATCGTCTTCGGTGTGTACTGGCCGACCTTGAACCATGTACTACACGAGGCCAACATATATAGTATGCTTCTCCATGTATTTACTTACATGGAGGATGTAACGTTAGCTAGGATAAATTTAAGAGATAGACATCTTGCATCTTTATCGACTTTGGAGCAGAATTGTTTTGCTTATGAAAACTTTGACATTCAACTTTTTTAACATAATTATTTGTGAAATTAAATTGTGCTTATATATATATATATATTTTTTTTTTTTGGATATTTAAAATTGCAACAGTAGTATTTATTTTTAGTAGTAAATGTATTAAAAATTTTAGGAAAGATATTTTAAAAAATTAAGTACAAATTTTTATACTATTATATCAATGACGTATTATTTTCATTACAGAAAATTAGAATGTTCGTTTATGCATTTGAATAAAAAAATATTGAATTTGCCGTTCTAACGATAAAATTGTTAAAGTAGATTTTTTTAGAAAGGCAAATTTTTATCGATAAATATTTTAAATTTCAGAGAGAATCGATCGAAAATACAAGTGTATCTCAAGTATTTTAATATTGTTTGAACGAAATTCAAGATATAATTATCTATGCTTTGCCATGGAAAAGAAAAAGATCAATATAATGAGATTATTTCATCAATTCTCGAATAATAATTAGCTTATAAAAGAAGAAAAAAACCTTGAAAAATGTTACGTCCTGTTCCACATAGTTTTACGCTAAAAATTGAAGACTATGATAATTCCGTCCTATCTGGCAACTATTACGAAGAAATTTCTACAATTTCCTTGTGTAAAGTCCAACAAGCGTGGCGATACTGGCTTGCCCAGTTGCTTGCTCGCCATAACCATCGAACCATACTGTTCTCCTGCCTCGATTCTTTTATTTCATTACTTGCACTTCTACAATATCTCCTTAATTAAATTAGGAAAAGATATTTACAATATTTGCAATTGTTTGACAAAAGCGTTTTTATTTTGTTTCCTTTTTGGACAAATGATAAGTTAACTTTTCATTCCAATTGAGTTTAATCATTTATTTCATTTAGAAATAATATGATTGTTTTAAATATATCGATCGAAGTATTTCAGAGTATTTTATTTTTTTACATTCCTTGATTTCTTCTATAATTTTGATTAATTTTACTTTGCAACGATCTTTTATTTTAATTTTAATCTTGTAAAATGAAACGTGTTCACAAATAGGAATATACATATAAGATATGCATGGGAATATTTAATATTGAGAATTCCGTGGTTAATGAACTCACAATGTGGTATGATTACCATAAATTATATCTATAACAAGTTTCCAGTTAACGTAATAGTTTTCTATTCCGCGAGCGATGCGTTGAAATCTCCAACTGGATATCTATTCTTTACAATACAAATGTTATATTTTAAATATTATAGTATGAATTAGAAAGCTTTTATCTATAGTTATTAAAAATAATTGCTTAGAGAATAAATATTTAGCAGATTTTTTTTTTTTTTAGCTATCATATCGATTATATAATTTATTTTGTATGTGTATAAAATTTTTGAAATGACAAATTATTATACACGAATAATATTGATTTGATTTTTAAAATAGAAACAAAGAACAGAATGCTACGTTTTTCTTTAGCTACAGTTCAACTTTCTTCCAGTGTTGTTTAATTAAGCGTAACATTTTTTTTATAGTACATAAATTAATCCATTTCTATTCGAGATTTCTACAGAAACGATTTTAATGTGGAGAAAAATATAATAATAATAATAATAATATATAAACAAATACTGTATATTTTACGCATGACATATATATATATATATTAATCCATATAATACTCTGCTTCTTTTGTTTCTATTGCAAGAATTAAACAATCAAGAAAAAGATTATTAAACGTTTAACTATGATCTGAAGTTTCATTTGAGTGAATTTAAAAATATTAAATATAAATGTGTGTGTATATATATAAAAAACTTCGTTTATCGATCGAGCTCCGTCTTTATCCTTTCTTTATCTTTCTCTCTCTTATCGGTTCGGAAGGAAATGATCGGTAAGCGTAGCGCACGCGGATTCTAGTTGAAAGCAATTCCATCCGCGGTGGCGAGGCTTGAAATTGCATCGTATCGCGTTCAGAGAAAGGTATACGGTATACTTACACGATCGTTCGAGTTTTTTGCATACTTGGGAAAATAAGCTGCAGAAGTGAATGTTAATAAATGAAGGATTTCTCTTTTACGCTATGAGACGAATGAATAAATAGAATAATTGACCGTTTAAGGAATAAGAATTGAAAGAAATCATGATATGATGGTTGTTCGTGAAGATATTTTGGTCTTTAACGATGTTTCTTCTTGTTGAAATATATGCTATTGATTAACAGTTTGAGTTTATTTATTTATTGATAATTAATATTTGTATGCATAATTACATTTCGAAAAAAAAAAAATTATTAAAAATTGTAAAAGTTATTATTCAGACTAAAAGACAGTACACGTTAACCCACATCCTGGGAAGGTCGAGGGAAACTGAGTTTAGCGCGGCCAACGGAGCTCTCATTTCCGGAACCGCTTCTTAACTTCCGTCATAGGACTGATGGCGTAATTGCGAATGGATTCGGTGCTCGCCGAGTAAGGTCGATCGATAAAAATGCGACATTTGTTACCGTTTTACCGTATGAAATTCAAGAAAATAAAATGTTAGGGAATGAAAAAAATGTTAAGGAAAAAAAATTAGAGAAATTTTTGAAAATATCAAAATTACGTACTTTGGCTGAAAAATAATTATTAATGAAATTTCAGTTTGTGTAATACGAGTGACGAGTGAACGACTCGAATGTGAATCAGCGTGCTGAGAAAAAGATTCACAATTATCACAAAAGCGATTGCTCTACCGATTGTGACGATTTTTTTGAATCCGGTAATTAACGCAATGATGATCCTACATTTCCTAGTTATTGTGCCTCCGTTTTTCCCTTTGTGCGTTTCACGTTCGGTTGTTCATTGTATCACGTTCTCACGACGCGCAATGAAACAAACAGGCGCACTGTGTTACGTTGTTCTTACAACGTAACTTACAATAAGATTCGTTCTCCCATCTTTTTGAAAGGAAGAGAATTTTGCAATTTATCCGATGCCCAATTCTTGATAGTCTTTTTTATGTTTATTATATTAATAATTATTGGTCTTCTAATCATTTCTTAATGAGATATAATAATATAATATATTTCCTCAGAATCGAATGTATAATGTGTATATATAATAAAGGTGTATATCTAATTGATATCCTTTTCACTCCATCGCGCATGAAAAAATGAAGAAAAATTAAAAAGCGAAAAATTCGAAAGATATAGAAAAATAAAATGAGATAGATAATAACGTTAAGCGTTTAATTTAAAATTGAAATATGAATATCTATTTAATAAGAAACGATAATTCATTTCTAAAATTATTTTAAAACAAATATATATTTCGTATTGATTGTAAAAATATAAAAATGTAATAATATTGATTAAAATCACATAATACTACGAAGTACCGTAATAATGATAACTTATCAAATACCATAAAACTAGTAAAACAATTTGTGATAAATATAGTGTACGTATCGAGCAAATACGGCATGGAACGCTATTCGCGGAAGATCATTAACACGTAAAAAGTCTATTGCTTTCTAATAGGAGGAAATAGTGAAATTTGTAAGATTTGTTTAGCTCGTGTGAACTTCGACTTGTTCTCTAGTTTCCATAATCTGATTTTCAACTATTTACATCTAATTATTTTTTACTTATCTTTATTAAAAATTAAAGGTATACATTACATTAAAAAAATGATCGTGCCATATAAACATGCCATCAATTCTGTTTATTTCTATTATATCCATTCTAAGGAAGTAATTTTCAATTTGATCAATTAAAAAATTCCTAAATAAAACAAAAAAAAAAGTTTTAATCTTTTTGATCGTGTCACATCATATTGTAACAATGTAATCAATATCTGTCAAGTAACACCAGTTAACCACTTT